TTGAGGATAGGATTAAAATTCAAAATGATCTGGACAAACTGGAGAAATGGTCTGAAGTAAATAGGATGAAATTCAATAAGGACAAATGCGAAGTACTCCACTTAGGAAGGAACGATCAGTTGCACACATACAAAATGGGAAGGAGTACTTCGGAAAGGGATCTGGGGGTCAGAATGGACTACAAGCTAAATATGAGTCAACAGTGTAACACTATTGCCAAAAAAAAAAGCAAACATAATTCTAGGATGTATTAGCAGGAGTGTTGTAAGCAAGACACAAGAAGTAATTCTTCCACTCTACTCCGTGCTGGTTAGGCCTCAACTGGAGTGTTGTGTCCAGTTCTGGATGCCACATTTCAGGACAGATCTGGACAAATTGGAGAAAGTCCAGAGAAGAGCAACAAAAATGATTAAAGATCTAGAAAACGTGACCCATGAGGGAAGATTGAAAAAATTGGGCATGTTTAGTCTGGAAAAAAAAAGACTGAGAGGGCACATAACAGTTTTCAAGTACCTAAAAGGTTGTTACAAGGAGGAGAGTGAAGAATTGTTCTTCTTAACCTCTGAGGATAGGACAAGAAGCAATGGGCTTAAATTGCAGCAAGGGTGGTTTAGGTTGGACACTAGGAAAAACTTCCTAACTGTCAGGGTGGTTAAACACAGGAATAAATTGCATAGGGAGGTTGTGGAATCTCCATCACTGGAGATTTTTAAGAGCAGGTTAGACAAACACCTGTCAGGGATGGTCTAAAATGATAATACTTAGTCCTATCATAAGTCCAGGGGACTGGACTCTCAAGGTCCCTTCCAGTCCTATGATACTATGCTTGCTCAGGGCCAGCCTTAGGGAAAATGGTGCCCTGGGTGAACTTGTATTTTGGCACCCTTGGTCCCCACTGCCTCTCCCAGTCCCCCGCCCATCCTCCCCATTGCTCTGGCCCCTGCTGGCTCCATGAGCCCTCCCCATCGCACCCGGGCCCTGCTGCCTCCTCCCCCACACTGCCTCAATCTTCCTTCCACAGCTTTGCACCCCAGACCCGCCCCACTCCTGTGCTTGTTCTTGTAGGAAAGAGAACAGGAACAGATCGTTAAAATCCCAACATTTTCTAGGTCTGCATGTCTCCTGTTGCTAAGTGTTTTTCTCCCTAACATGCCCCCCTCTGCTCCCCCCCCCCCCCGAGATTCTTGCCCCAGTGATTCATTGGGCGCTTTTCCCACTCCTGGAGATAAGAACAGTATCTTTCTATTTGTCTACATGTTGTCAGGCACACCAGTGATGTCACAGAGGAAAGTAATAAAAAAAGTGATTGCTTCTCCTCATAAAAATTGTCAACTTTAAAAACCTGTGATGTGAATGACTTCTCTTGGAAGGTGGAATTATACTGATGTCCTTGTGCTTCCTAGGAATTGGCTTATAGTGAGGGAGCACATGTCCCTAATGGTGCATTGTAATGTGTAAAGGGCAGTTCCACCTACAGCTAGGAAACTAAAATAACTGTGCACTTATACAGAGCATTATATTAGCAGAGTGCTGTTCAGACACTTGTGACACTGGCAGACCAGATGCCAGCTCATGCCAAGGCCCCTAGGCCTCATTGAACACTGACAAATGCATAGCTTAGGCAGGGGTGGCCAACCTGAGGCTGAGAAGGAGCCAGAATTTATCAATGTACATTGCCAAAGAGGCACAGTAACATGTCAGCAGCCCCCCATCAGCTCTCCCACCCCAGCTCCCAGCACCTCCTGCCCACGGGCAGCTTCGCTGATCAGCGCCTCTCCCTCTCTCCCTGCACCTCCTGATCAGCTGTTTCGTGGCGTGCAGGAGGCTCTGGGAGGGAGGGGAAGGAGCAAGGGCATGGCAGGCTCAAGGGAGGGGGTAGGAAGGGGTGGAGTGGAGGCAGGGCCTGTGGCAGAGCCAGGGGTTGAGCAGTGAGCACCCCCCAGCACATTGGAAAGTTGGCACCTGTAGCTCCAGCCCCGGAGTCGCTGCCTATACAAGGAGCCACATATTAACTTCTGAAGAGCTGCATGTGGCTCCAGAGCCACAGATTGGCCACCAGTGGCTTAGGGTGACCAGGTGTCCATTTTTCGACTGGAACACCCGGTCAAAAAGGGATCCTGGAGGCTCCGGTCAGCGCCGCGCAGCTCCTGGGAAGCAACTAGCATGTCCCCTCTCCGGCGCCTATGTATAGGGGCAACCAGGGGCTCCACACACTGCCCTCACCCCAAGCACTGCCCCCACAACTCCCATTGTCTGGGAACTGTGGCCAATGGGAATTGTGGGGGCAGCGCCTGCAGACAGGGCAGTGCGCAGTGCCGCCTGACTGCGCTTCCACGTAGGAGCCGGAGGGGGGACATGTTGGCTGCTTCTGGGAGCTGCTTGAGGTAAGCGCCACCCAGAGCCTGCACCCCAACTCTCTCCCAGGACCCAACCCTCTGCCCCAGCCCCAGCTCTGATCCCCCTCCCACCCTGTGAACCCCTTGATCCCAGCCTGGAGCACCCTCCTGCACCCCAAACCCTTCATTCCCAGCC